ATCTCCCAAGAACTCACCATCAGGCTACTACAACCCACTCTACATGGCTAGTGGAGGGAAGGGCATCCCTGTAACCAATGGGATTTTGGCCTGCATCAATAGGAGCATAGTGTCTAGATCTAGGGAAGTAATGCTACCCCTCTATTCTGCTTTGGTTAGACCACACCTGGAATATTGTGTCCAATTCTGGGCACCACAATTGAAGAGAGATATTGACAAGATGGAATGTGTCCAGAGGAGGGCGACTAAAATGATCAAGGGTCTGGAGAACAAGCCCTATGAGGAGCGGCTTAAGGAGCTGGGCATGTTTAGCCTGAAGAAGAGAAGGCTGAGAGGAGATATGATAGCCATGTATAAATATGTGAGAGAAGCCACAGGGAGGAGGGAGCAAGCTTGTTTTCTGCTTCCTGGAGACTAGGACATGGGACAATGGCTTCAAACTACAAGAGAGGAGATTCCATCTGAACATGAGGAAGAACTTCCTGACTGTGAGAGCCGTTCAGCAGTGGAACTCTCTGCCCCGGAGTGTGGTGGAGGCTCCTTCTTTGAAAGCTTTTAAACAGAGGCTGGATGCCCATCTGTCAGGGGTGATTTGAATGCAATATTCCTGCTTCTTGGCAGGGGATTGGACTGGATGGCCCATGAGGTCTCTTCCAACTCTTTGCTTCTATTATTCTATGATTCAGAGGTTTCATTGATCATCCAATGAAACTTCCAAAGACTATCTGGAGATCTTAGCAGATGATGCCAGTGTTCTGAGTTTGGTCATAAGATTGCATAAAAATTGGCCATAAGCTGGTCATGCATTGGTGGGGGAAGGGGTGGGAGTCCTGAATTTGAGTCCCAATTAAGGGAAAGGAGGAGATGCAGTGCAGTTCCACAACTCAAACATTAACACTGATTCTGTGGTGCAGGTTCTCACCAGACAAAGAGATACAGTATTGAAAATAGCATTGCAATTAGTCTTCAAAAGAGAATTCAGATGTCTTCTGAAACAGCACTGTTTGGCATTTTGAAGAGGCCAGTGTTGGGAGTTGGCTGTTCTCTCCAGGGAGGCTACCCATAAATTTGATACCACAAACAGAAAAGATCTGAACTGGAAAGATGCCTGCTGTTGTGCTTCTCTTTTTCTGGCACTGATATTTTTCCCAATTAAGGTGTGGCAAGATTCCCTTCCTAGCCTGGTGAGAATTATTAATGTGACGTGAATTAGAAGCAGAATATACTAAATGACTGCTCCAGAACCTTCTTACCTGATGCTGTACTACCAGACCACACCAGACCACATCCTCAAAATCCTGTCTTCATAAACTTATTTGGGAAATGTCAGCTGTTTTAGAATTCCATTAGTAATATAAAATGAATTTGAATCCAACTGAGAAGAGTAATTGCATACTAAGAAATTCCTCTTCAATATTAATGGCTTACATTGATTGTAATCAGCTATGATTTTTTGCTATTTTAAAGAGGGAAATGTTTTTGTAGAGCAAGATTTCCGAAAAGAAGTTATAAAAATGCTGAAAATTCCCCAAAAAACTGTGGATAAGTGAAATGTTTTGAAACTTAATGGGCTAACAGTGGTAAATGTGTTCTACCATGGTAGCAAGTTTCAAACCACCACCCCCCCCCCCCCCCCCCCAATAGCTATAAAACTGAGGGGGAAAGGAGCCCCTGAAGTTTCCCCCCTTGCACAATTGCTATAGTGAAAAAACAATGAAATTTGTTACTCTCATTATAGTAACAAAATTTTCGCTAACAATACTTTAGAAACACTGTAGAAAAAATGCCAGTACCCCCTAATTTTATGAGTTTTGAAACATTTTTTAATCTATTGCACAGCCTACACACACACACACACATCCCTTTTGAGCAAAATCATTTTTTTTTTCAGTTTGTAAGGGGACATTAAAATGAATAGGAATAATAAGTTATGATGCGATTTCTTCTTTGTGGGACTAAACCATTCACATAATATATTGTCGAAGGCTTTCATGGCTGGAATCACTAGGTTCTTGTGGGTTTTTTCGGGCTATAGAGCCATGTTCTAGAGGCATTTCTCCTGACGTTTCGCCTGCATCTATGGCAAGCATCCTCAGAGGTAGTGAGGTCTGTTGGAAGTAGGAAAAATGGGTTTATATATCTGTGGAATGGCTGGGGTGGGGCAAGGAGCTCTTCCCTGCTGCAGTTAGGTGTGAATGTTTAGCTGATCACCTTCATTAGCATTTGAAGGCCTGCCTGAGCCTGGGAAAATCTGTTGCTGGGAGGTGTTAATCTGTGCCTGGTTTTTTCCTCTCTGTGTTTAGCTGTTGTAATTTTAGAGTTTTTTAATACTGGTAGCCAGATTTTGTTCATTTTCATGGTCTCTTACTTTCTGTTGAAATTGTCCACATGCTTGTGGATTTCAATGGCTTCTCTGTGTAGTCTGACATGGTGGTTGTTGGTGTGGTCCAGCATTTCTGTGTTCTCAAATAATATGCTGTGTCCAGGCTGGTTCATCAGGTGCTCTGCTATGGCTGACTTCTCTGGTTGAAGTAGTCTGCAGTGCCTTGCATGTTCCTTGATGCGTGTCTGGGCGCTGCGTTTGGTGGTCCCTATGTAGACTTGTCCACAGCTGCATGGTATACGGTAGACTCCTGCAGAGGTGAGAGGATCCCTCTTGTCCTTTGCTGAACGTAGCATTTGTTGGATTTTCTTGGTGGGTTTGTAGATTGTTTGTATGTTGTGTTTCCTCATCAGCTTCCCTATGCGGTCAGTGGTTCCCTTGATGTATGGCAGGAACACTTTTCCTCTGGGTGGATCCTCATCTTGACTCTCGTGGCTTGTTCTTGGTCTTGCAGCTCTTCTGATGTCTGAGGTGGAGTATCCATTGGCCTGGAGAGCCCAGTTGAGGTGGTTCAGTTCATCTTGGAGGAGGTGGGGTTCGCAGATTCTTTTTGCACGGTCTGCCAAGGCTTTAATGGTGCTTCTTTTTTGACTTGGGTGATGGTTGGAGTTTTTATGTAGATATCTATCTGTGTGTGTGGGTTTTCTGTAGACGGTGTGACCCAATTGTTGATCTGGTTTGCGGATGACTAGGACATCTAGAAAAGGCAGTCTTCCTTCATTTTCTTTTTCCATGGTGAACTGGATGTTTGGGTGGATGCTGTTAAGATGGTCCAGGAACCTGTTGAGTTCTTCTTCTCCATGGCTCCAAATGGTGAAGGTGTCATCCACATATCTGAACCATATCGTGGGCTTTTTGGTTGCTGTTTCCAGGGCTTGTTCTTCAAAGTGTTCCATGTAGAAGTTAGCTATGACCGGGCTGAGAGGGCTCCCCATAGCTACTCCATCTTTCTGTTCGTAGAATTCATTGTCCCACTGAAAGTAACTGGTGGTAAGGCAATGGTGAAACAGAGCCGTGATGTCTTCTGGGAACCTCTGGTTGATGAGTGCCATGGTGTCTGCTACCGGGACCATGGTAAATAGAGATACCACATCGAAGCTGATCAGTTTGTCGTTTGTATTTAGCTTGAGATTGCTGATTTTTTCTATGAAGTGGGATGAGTCCTTGATGTAGTGTGTAGTGAGCCCAATATGGCTTTGTAACTGTGCAGCAAGAAATTTTGCTAGGTCGTATGTGGGGGATCCAATGGCACTCACGATGGGTCTGAGTGGGGTGGAGTCCTTATGGATTTTTGGGAGTCCATAAAGCCTGGGTGGATGGGCTTCCGATTTACATAGCTGTTGTCGTATGTCAAAGTTTATGGAGGAGTTCTTAATCATTCACATAATAGTTATGGACTCCAGTCTCTTGTTCAATCTGCTACTGTATCAGGTCTACCAAGCCAATTTCAGTCAATAATTTTACACTTGTATCTTATTTTTGATATTTGTTGTGTTCGTTTTAATATATATTTTATAGAAATGTGTTTTAATGTGTGCATTTTATATAATGTTTTTAGGCAATTGTGTGTTTTTAGCAATGTTGTAACTCCGCCTCAAGGAATGACGAGAGGCGGGTAAGAAATAAAACTCTTGTTGTTGTTATTATGTATTGCAACCATGCTAGAGTAGTCAATAGGCACCACTTGAACTGATTGGCACCTTGTTTATGGGTTGTTACACTGAGAATCCTAATGCTTAAAAAGAGGTTATTCCACCCCAGTAGTTTATTGCAGGCCCAGTGAGCTATGACATTCACCAAAGTCAGCTTATTATGGTTCGTGGAACAAATTAGCCCTATGAGTGTGGTCGCTGAAACAGAGGCCAAGTTAACAACATTTCACAGAATTCTTAATGAGAAGATAGAAATCCTTAGGGTGGTGAGACTTCTAATAAGCAGCCATACAATTTCTGTAACCTGCCTTTTTCTATCAAAATATGTCAGTGCAATAAAACAGTATTTTCTTCTAGGAAAAAGAGTGACTTTGAGGTTGTACGAGTCTGCACTTTGTGGGCTGGGAATGTAATGCATTGATTGTAGCTTATGGGCTTTGTCACCTGGAATGTGAAGAAGTTTTAGTGCAAAACTTCAATTTACTCTCCTTATATTTTTAAAAGCTATCTGTGGCTCGTTGCAAACATAAGTATTTTGAGCAAATTTTTCTCCCTGTGTAGTTTCTAAAGAGAACACTTATTTATTTATTTATGTATTTATGACATTTATATGCCGCCTTTCTCACCTCGAAGGGGTTTTGTGTTTTACCATCCTTGTGGGAGGCATCTCTCATGTTTCCACATGGGGAGATGGAACTGATAGAGGGAACTCAACCTGCTCTCCCCAGATTTGGACTGCTGACCTATCGGGTTTAACCCATTGCACCACCAGGGGCTCCTGCCTTTCAGGCTAAAATGGGGGTATTGTGAAGATACAAGGAGTGAACTTTTAGAATAATTAGCCTATATGAGAGTATTTATTTTGACAGGATGAAATGCTGTATAACCACACATCCAAGATGTTGATATTGTATAATTTATATTTTTTGCAGTTTGTTCTTCATTTTAAAAAATTGTTTCTGCAGATGTCAATGAATGCAGCATGGAGAATGGAGGCTGTCAGGACCAATGCTGCAATACTTTTGGCAGTTTCTACTGTAAATGTCCAGTTGGCCAAAAACTGGGGGAAGACCAGAGATTATGCGAAGGTAACAATCTTTGTAGAGACCTTTGCTTGATCAGTTGCATGGTAATATGTTGAACAGAGAGAGGGGGGGGGGCAGGCTTTGTTTTCAGAAATCATATTTAACTTCAAGATATAAGCTTGGATCTGGTTTGCAAAACAGCAGCTGAAATGAATGACACTTTAGACTGGATATACGTTGAGTGGATTCCTCAGTGTTGACACCAAAAATCTAAATATAGGAATTGTTCTGTATTATTTGTCAGTTTTATACCTCATCATAACCCCTCAGGACATTGTGATAGACATCAAAATCTACAACTATATTTGTTTAGCATGCACAATTTACTGGCTACTTTCAAACTCACATTCTAAACAAGAGGATTGGGGAAAACATTTATTGGTGTTAACCTATAAAGCCCTAAACGACTCCGGCCCTGTTTACCTCTCCGAACGTATTCTCCCCTATGAACCATCAAGATTATTAAGATCATCTGGAGAGGCCCTGCTCTCGGTCCCACCGGCCTCGCAAGCGCGTCTGGTGGGGACGAGGGACAGGGCCTTCTCGGTGGTGGCCCCTCGACTCTGGAACTCTCTCCCACCGGAGGTCAGAACCGCCCCTTCTATCCTGACATTTAGGAAACAGGTGAAGACGTGGTTATGGAGACAGGCTTTCGATGAATGAGACAACACCCTAAGATTTGGATGGAAGATGATGTATAATCGATTTTAGTATGACGACTGACCACTGTAGTTTTAAATATATTTGTTGTTTTAATATGTTATTGTAATATGAACTATGATGTTTTTATGGTTGGAAACCGGTCTGAGTCCCTCAAAGAGGTGAGAAGGTCGGTATATAAAACTTTGAAATAAATAAATAAATAAATAAAGAGGTGAAGGGATCTATACAAATAATTGATAGAAAAATATTTTAAAGGGTTAGAAAATAGGAGAGGAGGCACTGCTGCTATTTTCCCTGAGCCGCGTGTGTGTGAGAGAGGGAACAGGAAAGGACTACAATGCTAAAGTTTTAAGAAGTGCAGAAAAATGAGAATTCCTCTTGTTTAGATTTCTGAGAGGACAGAACAAGTGAGTATGCAAATGAAAAGTCAGGACTTCTTTGGTCTATTATGTTAAGATATTTCAGATTAGAAACAAATAAAACTTTATTAGGATCCAAACGTAGGGCTCATCTACTTAGAACACTTAGATCAGTATCCATTTGGATCAGCCCCTTGGCAGCTATATGAGGATGCTTCAGCTCAATCCAAGGCAAGGTCATCTTAATGCATTCTTGCCCGGTTTAAATTAGCTTGAGGTTAGGGGGAGTGAAGACAGACCAACTGCATCTGTTTTTTTTTTCTGCCATTCCACATTCCCCAGGCTAGGGTGATTGAGGAATACAGGAACCCAGGGATGTTGGGTGGGAGTGCCCTGTTGTTTGCCCCATGTTGCCTCTGTCCCCAGCCATGGAACACATTGTCCTGGTTCTCAGCTTCTCTAGCTGATGTCATCCAGAGAATGGGATGGAAGTTGGGAGAGGGGCTTTCCCCCTCCTTCTTCCTCTCTCTGCGTCCCTCACAAAGTAGTGCTCTGGCTGACATCAGCTTGACTGCCAGAGACCAGGTGGCATGTCACAGCCAGGGAAAGCCATAAGACGGGAAGTGAGGAACCCCTAGAGTGACTGTCCAGTGGTACCAAACCATGTTCAGTGTGACTGGGCAGTTGGGACTTCCTACCACCTCCATGGCAGTTTAGGAAGTCCGTATCTGGTGGATCAAACCCACATTAGTGCTTAGTCAGGCTTTAATTGATCTACTTGTCCCATTAATGTTAATAAATTTACTCTAACCATAACTAACCCTGAACCCAACCATTGCTTGTAAGTCTTAAAATGAACACATTTATAATTTGGTAGTTGCTGTAACATAGAAGTTTGCTCTCACCTAGGTGATGCAGAATTATTTGGATCCAGAGATTATTTCTGCCAGATAAACACAATCAACTAGTTGTTTCCATTCTTTAGCTGTAATTTGGAAAGCAAAAGTTTCCTGCCTCAAAGACTGTGTAGTGGAGGGGTCCTCAAACTTTTTAAACAGAGGGCCAGGTCACAGTCCCTCAAACTGTTGGAGGGCCAGATTATAATTTGAAAAAAAACATGAATGAATTCCTATGCACACTGCACATATCTTATTTGTAGTTCAAAAAACCAATACAATAATTAAAATGAAGAACAATTTTAACAAATATAAACTTACTAGTTTCAAGAGGAAGTGTGGACCTGTTTGTAGCTGATGAGATAGAATTATTGTTTTTGTTGTGTGCTTTCAAGTCATTTCAGACTTAGGTTGACCCTGAGTGAGGGCCGGGTAAATGACCTTGGAGGGCCGTATGCGGCCCCCGGGCCTTAGTTTGAGGACCCCTGGTCCATACTCATATAGTGTGGGACTTTCCCTTCCACATAGCTGTTCAAAATCCACATTGAACAGGATTACAAGGCAGTGTGGACTCAGATAACCCAGCTTACTTGTCCAAACATATTTCCCTCTATGTACCGCCTCAAAGTCTAAGATCATCCGGGGAGGACCTACTTTCAATCCTGCCTTCTTTGCAAATACACTTGGCAGAGATGAGAGACAGGGCCTCGATGGTGCCCCCCCCCCCCCCCGCCTGTGGAACACGCTCCCCAGCAAAATTAGGTCAACTACATCCCTCCTTTCCTTTAGGAAAAAGCTTAAAACATGGTTTTGGGACCAGGTTTTCAAGTAGCAGGCTGACAGCAATCACAATACCCTGGAGAACTGACTATGGACAGGCCTTGGACTGAGTTGTTGGTCGCTGAATCAGATTTGCATATGGCTATTTAGTTAATAATATTGTTTTACATGGATTTTTCTTTTTAACCTAATGTTCTTACCTATTATGTAATGTGTTTTTATGCTGTGTGGGCATCGAATTGTGCTGGTTGTAAGATGCAATTCGCAAATTGCGTCTTACAATACATTTTAATTATTGTATTGAGTCTCCCTTTGGGGGTTGAGAAGGACGGGATACAAATGTTTGAAATAAATAAACCCAGTTCAAAGCAGATATTGTGGATTATCTGCCTTGATATTCTGGGTAATATGGCTGTGTGAAAGGGCACTTAGATGACCCAAAAGAGAAGGCAATCTGGGTTTAGGAAAAATGGCAAGAAGAATGGCTGGAGGCCTGAGTACAACAAAAATAAGTGCAGAGTTTAAAACATTATCTAAATTCCTATCATTTTACTGCTTGATGCCCAATTCTTTGCGATGACCTGATTCCAGGATACGGCATTTCTCCCCACTGCCTTCTTGGTGATAATATATTCAGACAAGGCTGTTACAGGCCGAGCTGATCTGATTAATTTTTTCTTCATTCTATCTAGTGTATTTTGGTATGCAAGTGCATTTGTTTCACATGTTAGCAAATCCTTCTCAGTTGAATAGCTTGCTACCTGAAATGAACTGGTTCCAGTTTTCAGCTCTTTTTCTTCTTCTTTTTTTGCCTTAAGCTAGCATTTTATTCAGGCAGTCAATTTCGGTTGAATGAGAGTTTGCAACTGACTTAGAAGAAGGAAAAAAAAATCCTGAGGCACTTTTTCTCTAAACAGGTGCCTTCTGTATTATCTGTAACAACATACACCACTTTCTCCTTGCAGTATCCAAACACAGATACACCTCTTAATGTTATAAACATAAAGGAATTATGTTCTAATATGTCTGAACTTCAGTAGATAATCTATATATTTTAAGGTAGTACATGGCTTGTTTGGGGCTGTGGGGACATAAGAAAAAAGTTGGATAGTTCATTTACCCCACCTTTCCTCCCAGGAAGAAAAAAAATCTCATTACGATATTGTTGTTGCCATATCTTGACATTACACTGTATCTTGAGAATGATTGCCAGCCTCAGGGGCATTACTTTTCATTTACAATTGCCAAGCAAAAAGATCTCTAATATCCATCAAATGCATACTCACCCCATCTTATTGATAATAAGGAAGAAAAAAGTGATATCAGCTTAAACGACATAAGCAAACACATGCCAGATCCTCATGACTTCTCATGATGCTGTCTGCTCTTTTTATTTATTTATGACTTTTTATATTATATTCTCTTAAGATAGGCAAGCCGATGCCCTCCAGATGTTTTGGTAAACTCTCACAATTGCTTGCTGGATAAGACCAATGGGAACTAGACTCCAAAACATCTGCAGTGTGCTGGGTTGCCTTCCTTTGCATACATTGTTGTGCGGCACATCTGCTCTAATTATAAATCCAGCAATTTTTATATTTTGTAAGGATATACATGACCAGCAAAGAAGAAAAACTGGTAGCATGTTTCTGAGATTACATTACTGGTCTATGTAGCTGGATCTTCAGAACATAGCATTTGGAAGGAATTTTCCAAGATCATTTAGTCCAACATTCTGCAAATACAAGGAACAAAAGCCACAACATTTTGGGTTTCATATTTATGAATCTTAAAAAGCATTGCTTGAGCTTTTCTCACTTTTATGAAACTTGCAATGATGGCTGATTTTAAACTGTTTACATACCTTCCTTTTATTATATGATGGTTGCAGAGCTGATTGTTGGTAGAGCTGTTTATATAGAACATATGGTATTTGTTCTGAATGAGAAAGCTTCTGTATGTTAAATGTATTTTTCATAATTTGCAGTTGCAGCTCTTTCCCATAAAGCTCTTGCTCTTGTACAGATCTGAAAGCTTTGTCTCTTCGACCTAGGATTTAACTCAGCCATCCTTTGCTGTTTCCTGGTATTTTTAGTAGCTAAGGCCCAGTGCAGTGTAAATGTATGTTGCAATTAAATTTTACCCCCTACTCTTCTTTTCCACATTGGAATGCTTGGGAAAGTAGCAAATGCTGTTGCTGGAAGGTGAAACAAACAAACAAACTGCTGGATTTTTATTCTTTTTTTTTTAAATGAGGTTTTCCATCAGCTCTTGCACAGTTTTCTTTTGAAAGCTAATGTAATAT